ATATAGTCTTAATTCACAAGCATTATAAGCAAAGATGGAGTGAATATGAACTCTGAGATTCAGATACATTCAGCTGAAGAGTCATAAATAAGACGAAACACATGTCAAATTGAATTCCAATGTTAGTCACTATCCATCTTTGCTTATAGTGGAGAAAATATATTCATAAAACATTAATATTCAGTCACATCTAAAAGGGAGCGTATGTTTAGTTTGCTAAACAACAAAGGATATCGTCATATGTTTTTCAGATAAATAGAGTATAAAAAATGAAGATCAAGAAGTAGGAAACATCATGAAGAGAATAGAGTCCGGCTTTATGATAATGGCACATTGAATTTATCCTTTGAAATAATCTTCAACAGTGGATAAAATGTATAGCACTTAAAAGATTATATCCGAGTAGTCTTTTGTATTCGTTTACATACTTCTGTAGTAAATAAGAACCCGAGTAGAGACAATCGAATGTATTTGAGCACAAAATTATAGACATCTATACAGTAAACAGTTAATTTCCAAACTATTGATCGATTGTTTTAATCTTGACTGTTCCTTCTGTAAATAACAGTTCATCGTCTCCGTTTATTATGGTTCATGGATTTTTATACCAATTGCGTTTTGTTCATGTTCTTTTGTTATCGATCTTCTAGTGAAATCAATTCTCTTCCTGATCATTGTCATATCCTAATATATGTGGATATAAGCAATCTACACTACACTTCCATTAGATGAATACAACTAATCATAATGAATTGATTTTCCATTCGACGGATTCTAAGTAGAAAATATTTAAAAAAACTTTCAAACAGTATCTATAGTAAGGCATAAGTATGTTAAGCTCTTCGATGACTGAATTCTTTATGAATCCGTTACTCTATAAACTTAACTTTTTTACTGATAATGTAAGTTTTGGATTGAATGGTAACATTAAATTCATACCTAATATGATAAATGTACGAATTTCTTAAGTAATAGTACAGCTACTCATACGTTGTATTGTGGTAGATGCATTTTTCTTTTGTTTCCTTTGCAATATTTTAACTTGTATTCATTTAGTGTCGGTTATTTATTTACTCTGAAGAAGCGGCTTAAGTTAAGTTACGAAACATCAAAAATACAATTTTTCTAATAGGTCTTGGGTTCAAATTTCGAGAGGCGGGATCGTTGATGTGCACTGCTGAGGAGTCCCATAATAGGACGAAACAGCCATTCAGTAATTCCAGGTTTTTCATGGTGGTCTAGCTTCAATCGAATAATGATTTCAACTATTTAAGAATTAACTTTAACTGGATGAATAATAAAAAAACAAATAGTATTAGGTGGCTGTTTCACTCATATGAGACACTATCGTGAATCTTAAGTAGGCATTTCATAAACTGTTCGAAAGTTTATTATTTATATTTGCTTCGAAGGTCATTGAACATTCATGAGTTGCTGTCCATGACAATATCGATTTCGTTACCAATACAAATCCGTTTGGCACATAATTTATGTATGGAGGGGTACTTACCGTTTCCAAATAACACTCTGATACTTATATATATATAATATTATATGTTGTCGTTTATTAACATAAGCATTTTGAAGCTTATCTGACAAATTAATCAGTACAGGAAAGTAGACAATCATTTTGGTCTTTCACAGTTCTTTAAATGAACGGTTCTTATTACTTTAGACAAAATATAAACTTGTTACTAGTTTTATCTAAATCACAGAACAATCTAAGTAAAATAACCATCAAATATCTGGAATCACTGGACGATCACATAGTTTTGGTATGGAACTCCTCAATAGTGTATATCCCCGACCTCACAAAAGGAAAAATCGAACTCATGACCTATGGTTTTATAACTAAGGCGAGATCCGATGATATGCAATTTTGATTTCAATCGGTTGTCAGTATTGAACAACCATCTTTTATTGTTTTCGGCAAGTATCTTAACTCCACTGTTTTTCACTAAAACTCTGAAAATCTCCTCTCAAACCTTGTCTCTGATGAACATATAATAATTACCAGTATGGATTGTCTAGATTCTTTATTTTCATCAAAATCAAAAACTTGTCTACTGGTTAGTAACTGAAGGATCTAAGAAAGTTTGCTCTAAATGAAACTGTCTATTTTTACAGATGATTCTTTTTTAAGAATATATTTAACATTTGTATAATTTCAATAGTTGAGATCATGAGTCCATTGAAGCTAGACCACCATGGAAAACGTTGTAAGCACTGGACGGTCGTTTCGTCCTATTTTGAGACTCCTCAACAGTGTGTATCCACAATCTCGCTTCAATTGACTCATGATCTAAACTATTGAAATTACTAAAATATTCACAAAAACCCCTTATGATATTTATATAATTGATTATTATTTAATGATTAATAAATATATGAGAACCACACTGATCATAGATCTTATCAAAAGGATTCATTGTTGAAGGTAAGATAATTGTTACTAAGATGAAATATTTATATTGATCAGTCTATCATTTGTTTTTAATAAAGAAGCCTGCAATATAAATTAAAGCCTTAGCAACTAATCAATCGCCACTAATATCTCTCCCCTGATACTAATTATTGATATTTCATAATAGTATACAATAAAAGTAACATACTGAAAAACTAAATAATTTTGACATATGACAGATGGTTTTATTATAAACAGAATGTGAATTTCATAGACAAGAAATATTTACCTACAGAAGATCCTTCTTTTTATTCATTCCTTTTTTCGTATTCAATTGTCTATAAGACATAAATTATATAAACAACAAAAAAATTCATTACCTTTATTGATTAGTTCTATTATTCACATCATTCGAATAGATGGATACTACCATTACCTTAATATATATCTAAGTAATTTTATAGTAATGATTAGTATATTTCTAATAAAAAGGTAATATTGATAGGTGAATAAATGAATCGGTTTGAGATTGATCATTATTGAAAATATATGGAGGCACTAGACGATCATTTCTTCCAAGGATAGGATTCCTTAAAATTGTACATCTATGATTTCACTTACAGGACTCGAACTAAGAACCTTCGGTATAGATTAAATCGAATCGTGTATTCAATTGTTAAAACGCTACAACAATCTTTATGAATTCCTTTGCTTAAAAAGCAATCAGTTATTTACGATTAATTGATATAATGAAAGGGGTTACCATATTTTCAAACACTTTTATCACTTATAAATTATGTATAATTTAACGGTTCCTGAACAATGGTTACTAAAATTGTGAAGAAAAATGCAAATGGAGACAATCGAATGTATTGTAGCGCAAATTACAGACTATCTCACTAAATTCTGATAACCATACAGTAAACAGTTAATTTGCAAAATAACAGTCAGTTGTCTCAATCTTTATTGTTCCTTCTGCAAATATCAATCCATCTTCTCTAATTCCATTGTTTATGCATTTTTCATACCAATTGTACTACTTTTCGGTTGTTTTTTTTTCCTTATCAATCTTCTGCCTAAATACATTCTATGCTTGACCATGATCATATACTACTTATGTGGATATAAGTAGACTACACCACAACCACTTTAAAATGCTGATTGAACATCTTAGTTATGATAAAAAACTTTGTTCTATGATGTTTAACTTGACTAAAACAGAAAAATTTAAGTAAGAGAGTAAAGTTAAGGGAAATTAATTGAATTCATGTATCAAATGTATGCAAATTAATTCTATCAAATAATCTTGTTCTCCAATATGGATGAATGACAATGCAATAGAACATTTGTAACTGAATACTGAAATAGTACAGCCTATACACAGGTCATAAGAAAATGAATTGATCTTACTATATTCAAATCATTATTTTAATTATTCACGAGTCATTCACTGACTGAATATGATATAATCATAATAAGTAGTATAAGACAATGAGACAAAATTTAATTTACTGAATGTTGTCTATAAACCCATATTGAACTTATTATTATCAGAAAGGGTTTTGTGGAGATTTAGTATTTTCGAGAAGTAAATCAAGGAGTTCTAGTGAGAAGTAGTAACCAGTGAAGTACAAACCACATTTGTTGTGAGATATTAATTCACTGATGACAATTGGTGAACGGTTGCTCAACTTTGTGGATCAGTTTAAGTTAGACATTAACACCGTTGGATGCCTGCCAGTCCAGTGGTTTATCGGTTAATTGCTCTGGCACGAGACTGGTAGATCCTGGGTTGAAATCTCGCGAGCCGAGATCGTGGATGTGCACTGCTGAGGAGTTCCATAATAGAACGAAATGGCAGTCCAGTGATTCCTGGTTTCCCATGATGGTCTAGCTTCAATTGACTCATGATTTCAACTATGAGAATGACATATTACCGATTAAAGTATACTTTTCTAAGATGATATTGAATAATGGTGATCATTTTTCTTTCTTTAAATAATTTATTCCTATCTCAGAAGAATGAATTAGTTCTTGTCTCTTATTCAACTATGGTCTGTTGTTAATGGTCTCACACTTAATACATTTAAATGTCAAAACGTTAATTTTAGCCTTAGATATAAACAGCATACAAACACCCTGTCGGAATCCCATGAAGTTTGAACTAATCGAAATTCCATAATAAGTATAATGTCAAAGGTCATTAGATTTGGTGTAAAATTTTCTACTGAACTCTCTTGGTTTTCCCATGTTTCATTGTTATCAAAAAATATTTTCCATCTGACCTACTACATAAATAGGCTGCATGTTTTGGAGATTACTCGCCATTTACTATTACAATTTGTCAATTCCTGCATATTACTTATTATTCTTTACTGTTCTCTATTATTTTTCCGGGGTTTTCGAGTAAACACCTTACTACATTGCGGAGAGTGCTGAAGGCAGTTTGCAAGGTGTGTGGTGAATCTTTTGGAGTTATTATTAATAAGCTTGTGGATAGACATCTTAAGTCCTGCAAACTCCTGACAAATGTTATCTTATCATATATTAACCAACTCCTTCATTTATATCTTTCTCTTTGTATATCTTCTGGTAGAATGAGACGTCGATACATTGAAATCTATGAACGCAAGTAAAAGTATTAATGTTTTACAATACATTATCCACCAAATGTACTCTGTGACGAACAGGTTGTTACAGTGAACCTATTCAATAACCGGTATTCTTGAAGATATCTGAAGTTGGAAAGTTGTACAGATTCTGATCTTGTTTTGTCTTTGTAAAAGAGACTTGTTGAAACACCTGATGCTCAGAATTTTATATTGTACCAATGATATAATCCTAAATAAAACCATTAATAGTAGTAGTAATATCATTCTTCTAAAACTTATGTCTTCTTTTCTTGTATTTCTCTTTTATTTATCAAATTAGATTGATGAACAATATACAACGAAATTTTGTTCAATTCTAGAAGAATCAATGAATGAATTAAAACATTATGCTGAATTAGTTCCAGGATTTATGAATTTATCAATGAATGATCGTGAAATTATGTTAAATTTACATTTCTTGGATTTATTAAGTTTTCGTTTAGCATGGAGGTAAGTAAAATGGAAATACTTTTCTGGTGATGATTCTTTTGATTCATTCATTATCTTGATAGGGGGGATAAAGAGATGATAGTCATGGCATTGTAGTGAACGATAACACAAGTAGGAACAATCAGATAAACTTGGACACAACGTTACAGTCCGCCGATCAGCATTCTCAAACCCACTCACTCTGTTCTCCACCTTCCTTTATAGTTCTATCCAGTTTTTGTTCATTCTTCTCGTACCTGTTTCCATTTTTCAGTGTAATGTGTTCTTTGATCTTCATATTCTTCTTTGACCTTCAGGATTCCACGTGAGGGCTTGTCTTGTGACACAGTCGGGTGATTCTGTCAATATGTGTCCTATCCATTTCCAGCGCTTCATCCCGATTTCTTCCTCTACTTCAATCTGGTTTGTTATCTCTCATAGTAAAATGTTGCTGATAGTGTCTGGCCAACGGATTCGAAATATTTGGCGTAGACAACTGTTAATAAACACCAATATCTTCTCTATGGTGGCCTTCGTAGATCTCTAGGTTTCCACCCCATACAGTAGAACTATCTTGACATTTGTATTGAAAATTCTGATCTTGGCGTTGGTTGACAATTTTATTGAGTTCCAGATGTTTTTCAGTGGTTTTTTTGCTGATCCACGTTTTCACATCTGCATCAGATCCACCGTGCAAAATTACCGAACATCTTGATAATATCTGAGAACCGTACAGTAAATACTTCATTTGCAAAATGTTAATCAGTTGACTCAAACTTCATTATTCACTAATCATTCTTTGTTCTCATTCTCTTTACTTCGATCTTCTTAACATTTTGTTACCAGGTATTTCCCCTATCGATTGATGATACATACTACTTATAACCATCGATATCAGTGGCACACAGCACATAAAGAGTTGAAATTTTCCATACAATATATTTGGAAGATTTATAACAACCAATAATAAAGTCTAATATAAGTCGAGTATATACAAATCGTAGTGACTGAAAAAGTTTCCCAAAGTCTTTTTACTTCAAACTGGTCCTACTCTCTTCCATGAAATAATCTTTATTACCTATTTGTAAGATTAAAATCAATGTAAAAATAACTTTAAAACGAGATTGAACATTGAAATCATTTTACTCCAAGAATTACTAAAAGAATTGATTTATATTTGGAAGATTGAACAGTAAGTACACAATGCTTTTATACCACACAGGTTCCTAAAACAACTTCACTTTCAATTGATGATACATGCTACTTATATCTGTTGATTTCAGTAGCATACATCACAATATCACTCAATATTACATGTTTACGAGTTCTATTTAATTTTCATCAAAGTTTATGGGTATTTGTATAATAACTGAATATAACTAAAGAAAAGGAAATGAAACTTTAATAAGAATATAAAATTCTTAACCCCAGTAAATACATTCAATACTCAAGTGGATATGATTTTGGTTATGTTAGTCATTTGTTCCTATGTCTAAATTCTAACTCCCGACCGTTACTGCTACCTTGACGTGGTGGTCGGGCTTGCCTACCATAATCAACCAATTGAGCTGAATGGAACAATTGTTCCTTAAGATCCTACCATGTCAGACAGGTCGGTTGAAGAGCGGTAAGACTAAAAGCAGCAAACCCAAGGTCCGAAGGCGAAGTCGTACTGCTGACTGTACAGAGATGTGACAACAGTAAGGTGCTTCCTTCAGGCAACTAGCATAACATCGATGCTGCCTTCCCACACGGAGGGGTGGGGTCAGAAAAGGTCGACCTTAAAAATTCACACCTCACCTTATCCCACGGATATTCGTCTCCGGCGGTTAACAAGAAAATTACTCACAAAAAGGTCGTGTGTGACCGACCTCAAGCAGTTATCCCTTGGGAGTGGATAGCCGATGATTGATAGAATAACAGTGATCAGTTGTGTGCAGGATGTCAAATACTTGTCCGTGACCATATTAATAATAACCTCGAACATTTCATCACTTCAATTTTCTATATAACACAAAGAAGTCTTTTCTTAAAAGTTTTGACAGCAAATAGTGAGAGAAAAAGTGGGATAATCGGTGGTTTACAAGGATTTATAGTTCGTAAATGTCACAAAATGAACACTGTTGAATATTTCAAAGAAAAAAAACAACGGAAAACCGAGAAAGACCAAAAGAAAAACCTGGACAACGGTAAACAATAGTTGGATTTACTTCAGTTAACAAGTCATTCCATTCCAACATAAGGTTTAGGTGATTTTTATAAGTGAGAGAGATTCAAGCGGATTTTATGCAAGACAGTCTAAAATAGACTATATTTTAATGTGCTCCAAGAACTCAATCAGTTCAGTACAGTAAAACCGTCTGCATATCTCTTGGAAGAAAAAAGGGAAATACGTGGTATACATTAAACGCAGTTTATAAAAGAGTTTATTACATTCTATCATATACACTTTACTGTTCTAATAAGGTTAAAACAAGCTTTTACAAAGCCATGAGAATTAAGTAATGAGACATCAGTGGAAATAGTTTTGTCTCTCTTTTTCACTTATTCTTAAACAAAGATTCCTAATAACAACGGAAATCAAACCCATATAGTCACCGAGCTATAAATGGCTTGATTTGCATGTTAGTGAATAATTAAAAATAGGTAAATTCACTTAGTATTGCTTGTTTGAATCTTACCATTGATGTTTAGGACTGCAACTGGTCAGTCTCTTATTGGCATATGTGAATACTGTGCGTATTGCCTTGATATAGCCGCAATCCAGAAGCATTGTAAGCAAAGATTGATAGTGGCTAGCAGTGGAATCCACGACGCACGTTTCGTAATAAGAGACTGACCAGTTGCAGTCCTAAAAATCAGTCGAAAGATTTAAACAAACAATACTAAGAGGATTTAAACTTCACCCCATTGCACAAGCAATTGGATTACAGGACTCAGTAGCTATGTAGATAACGCGATGACGTTTGAAGTGAACGGTATTGGGTTCGAGTCGTAGAGTGAACACCAACTCTGAGATGCATATACATCCGGCTGACGAGTTCCGAATAGAATGAAATGGATTCCACTGCTAGCCACTGTCCATCAAAGTAGATAGTTATTTGTCTGGTCTAAATGATACAATAATACTATTTGCTTTGAATGTTATCAAAAACTTAACAAATGAAACCTAAACTACTGAATAACTGCTCAGTTATTGTATTAAATTGTTAATGAGCATGAGAGAATGATTTGCGTTTCACAGATATTAAAAATCAGTAGTATAATGCAAATCAATCTGAAATTCTGTTTGAGGTGGATATTTCAATTGATTATTCTACAGATATTTCTCATAATTCTTTGAGGATTTCATCAGGAGCTGGCGTTGATTGGTAAAACACTAAAGATAAGTGATCTATGGATAGTCATTTTTAATAACGTTTGAAAATTTTGTGCAATCAGTATTATTGATAAGTCTTGCTAATTGAACGTTATACTCTGATCCTAAGCTAATCTCGTAACCTCTAAACTAAATCTACACAGCGATTTGAACATGAGAGAAAAGGCACAAAATATGGGAGAAGCACTTTACTCTAAAGGTTCATTTATGTACAGAAATTATAAGGCTTTTATAGTATTTAAGAAGTTCTTGGGTTTTTCCAAAAATTCTGGAATCCTATTAAACATAATAGCAGTGTAGTAATTAGCCAATCAGAAACTCCACATATTACTTGCCACTTTCGTGATGTTTCTAGGAAAACTTCTAGTCAAACGCTGATTGGTTAAACATGCTTCTTAATGTTTCCTGAGCTTGTCATGTCTATGGCGAGAAATTTTCTAGATCATCCCAATAATTATAAGATCTTGGAATAAAATCATATAATAAAGACTTGATAAACGGGCACTTCATTGGAAATTAACTTTTTAGATGAAGTTATTTCTCATTGTTACATTAGGTTCATTATGTGTGTATATCAGTGACTGTATTTTAACTTAATAATAATAATAGTAATAAAGTCGATGGATGAACCATTACATTAGTGTAACTCGGTATGGAAAGCGTTGCTGATTCGTATGTTCACAGTACAATACGTTTGCTAGTCTTTTTAATGTCTCCTGTCATATCATAACTAACACAACTTACAAATAGAATATCTCTCATAGACTTATTACAGAACCAACAACCGAATAACTTTTCACCATACAATATGTAAATTGTCTAGTCTTAATATGGGGCGTCACATAATATTAAAGTATATGTATATTTATAGTTGAAAGCACGAGTCAATTGAAGCTAGACCCCCAGAAAAAAACTTGGAAGCACTGGACGGCCGTTTCGTCCTATTATGGGACTGCTCAGCAGTGCGTATCCACGACCTCGCCTCACAAGATTCGAATTCAGAACTTACAAGTCTCGCGCTAGAGCACTTAACCGAATCTCTCGAGGTCGTCGATGCGTACTGCTGAGGAGTCTCACAATAGGAAGAAACAATCGTCTAGTGCTTCCAGTTTTTCCCTGGTTGTCTAGCTCCAATTGATTCACGCTTTCAACTATGAAAATACTGAAATCTCCACAAAAACCCTTTCTGTAGTATATGTATATATAGTTTTTGAGTCTGCATCATGTATGTGACATCCTAGTGATAAACATTGAAAACTACAATTTAACAGAATTAGTCAGTTGACATCATACATTTAATTAGTACTAATGAATAATGAAACATTAGTGGTTATTATTATTTATATAACACTAAAGACCTACATAAAAACAACCAAAAAAACATACACCCAAAGTTAGCGAAGACAAAAAAAAAGATTTTTTTTTCGTTTTTTGACAAGTTACAAGCAACCAACCAAAAAAAACAAAAAAAAGTAGACAGTGAAATAGCCGAAAGAAATTCACACACACTCACACACACGTGTATATCTACATATATATATCCCATAACATGTATACAATAGAAGAGAGAGAAAAAAAGAAAGAAGAAGATTCTTAAACTTCTTTTTCTTTTTTTCTTTTCTTTTCGTTAAGTAAAAAAAAA